CAAATGGCTAAAAACGTACAAGTAACCAGAATTTATAATTATAATAACGAAAAAAGTTTTATTTGGTTAATTTTTGCCCCACTCGCCCCCGTATATCGAAAATGCGGGTGTTTATTTGAAAAAAATACGGTATTATTTTATGGGAAAACAAAAATCGTATCAGCGACGTGTATATTTTTAATCGAGCTACTACTACGTTTTCCGGCCGGGTAAAACAACATTATTTTTTCGTTTACTTTTGTGATTACATTCGTATTTGCTTTCATATATCGACGGCGCAAAAAAATCCGCTCCCGTTGCGCGGCTTAAATATTCCATGATTGAGTTTTTAGCAAATGTTTGCGGGCAACTATAGATAATGGTTTTCGGGCGCAATTATCGAACTGCGGCGGTATTAAAAAAAAAAGCCGATGGCGATGGTCGTTTGGCGGGCCGGGTGGATTTGTTGCCTTGTAAAAACGCCAATTTTCCACTACTGATGATTTTTTACGTTTGCCAATACCGTTTACAAATCTCCTGGATTCGTCCGGCGTTCTTTACAAATCGAACCTGATGACGTTAAGAGGAGTTTTGACGAAAGCTGTCTATGTTTTTTTGCATTTCTAATAATTGATGGACAAGGGAGTGGCATAATTTCCACCTTCTTAAAAATTGGTTGACAGTGCTCCAGGCAATCAAACGAGCAACTTTCTTTTGGAGTTTAAATGCCTGGTCTGCTGTGCCACAATTATCCCAGAGAACCACGCCGTAACTTAGATGAGGGTGAAAAAGGGCAAAATAGGTAACTCGCAATGTGCCCACAGTAAGTCCTTTAAGTTTACAGATCAAGTTTTTTAAACAAGATGTTAATTTAAACTATCGTCAAGCTTTATTCCCAAGAGCCTTACATTCTTGCCCTCCAGTAGATTATTATTGTGCATCACACGAAATGATGTATCGTCTTCATAAAGGGTACATTTATTAAGACGGAGCCCTGAGGCACGCCACTGCTCAAAACCCTCAACTCCGATATGTTATTCTTAAACACGACACACTGTCTTCTGTCGGATAAGATTCTGAGCGTGATCACGGACACAATATCTGCCAAGCTTCTCTAGAAGCAGGTCATGAGAGACGCAGTCGAAAGCCTTAGTGAGGTCACATAGCGTGAGTGCGGCTTGCTCCCTTTTTTCCAGGTTCTCCACCACGTCTCCCACAACCCTGCGAACCGCCTGCACAGTTTGGTCTTAAAACCAAATTGGGAATCACAAATGGATTTTGTTTTTTGAAAAAATCGGGATACTTGATTCTTTAAAAGTGTCTGGAAGACCTTACCACATATGGGAACTATTGATATGGGTCGGAAATCATTTGGAGAGGTTGTGTTACCTTTTTTAGAGACATAGATAATACAAAAAAGAACAATAATATTGTACAAACACTTAGTGAGTAAACAAATCCTTAAAAAAGGCAAAAAAAACAATTGCTAAAATATTGAAGAGAAGGGTGGTGTCTTACATTCAAGTATTATTTAATAAAATTGAAAAAGGAGAAGAAATATATAAGTAGATCGTGCCTGGACAATATATTTATCATGAGAAGATAAGAATAAAGCCAAGAAATTTGAAATGTAATGAAAGATTGTATGATGATACAAACGTGTAAATAAAACTAGGGAACGAATTAACGAAACCAGTAGTCCACCAATAAAGAAAAAGATCGGAAATTAATGAAAACTCTTTAGTATTTTTAGCGCAGATGGATTAAAATGTGAAAACGTGGAAACCTAAAAAAACAGGAAAAACATACAGGGTTTTCAAATTGTAGGCAAAAATCAAAAATAGTAAAAATTTGGCTAATAAGTTCAAACAGTGTCATAGGCCGTATCAAGAGCTACAGTTTTTGCATTTGCTACCACTTGAAACTTGCCCGGCCCAGCGACGCTTTCTTTTCGTTCTTTTTTCTCCGATTCTGAGGAACCATTAACTCCTTAAAAATGGAACCCATTTGAAAAAAATCAAACACAAAACAGTCTTGAAAGTTAAGAGGCGTTCGTAAGGCGAAATTAGGCTCGGAAACAGATTCAAAACTTTAATTCTGACGGAACTAAGCACTAACGCTCTTTTGCCAAGTCAAGGAAAACAAGAATTTATGTGCAGTTTCAACTCGGATCCGAGGAAGTAAACTTAACCGAAAGCAGAAGTCGGCTGTAAATAAAACGCGAAATAATTCGGCGTAATGTACGCCGACGAAAGCCAGAGACGCGCTCTCGCGCAAAACGGGTTACACCGTAAAGGGCGAGGTGAAACATTCGCGTCCGTTTGTATTACGAGATTAGGGCAGACGCGAATTCGATACGTCCGGATAGGGAAGAAAGGGTTCGCCCGATCGACGCGAAGCTATTTCGAATGGAAATGCAGTAATCGAAAAACTGGCTGTCGTATTCCTCGCGGTATCGAACGTAATGGATTTCGTAGTCGTCCGAGAATGGAAAATGCGCGGGAAATTTAACCGTGTTCCGTGTGATTTTGCGAAAGAATTCGATGAAAATCGAACCGTTTCGACGTTGACGTTTTGTAAAAAGAAAAAGTTTATCCGTAAATTTAAGACAAAGATTTCACATTCTGTGAACACATGTGAACATCTTCAGAGCTTAAGTGAAACTGGTTTGAGGCTGTATCGAGTCCAAATTTTGTTCATAAATTCTTATTGTGTTGAGATCTTTTCGAAGAACTTATGTCAAGAGAGACTTTACTATTGAAGATATGTTTCATAAACACACTTATACCAAGATGCCTAGCAACCTCATTATATCGCACCTGCATGTATATTCCAATTTCATCAGAGTATCGACTAAACAGAGAAGAGACTAAATGTTACCATCATCTCGCCATCTCGATTTAAAAAAATAGAAGATTTTCTACTTTTCTTTAAAACCGTTTCTCAATTGCTGTGTCCGGTCCTTCTTTGTATTTTCTTTTTTTTTTTATTTTGAGAAATGGAAGATTATTTTAATTTTTTTAAATCTGACTTGAATTGAACGTTACGTCCATGCCCGTGTGAATATTTTTCTACATTTTTCTTGACACCAAGTTCGATTATAGTCAGGTCTTCCAGTTTGCAACGTCGCAATAACTTACTTCGATGTAAATATGTTTCACATAAACACTATCGAGACAACCGTTTATTGAAAGCAGTCGTTTTTTATTTTCATTTAACTTAATTTTGTAAAATTAACTGAATCTGCTTGTTTCCTCAAACTCCAACATTTTCCACCACATTTTTGTTCGGAAATGACAAACCAGTTGAACATGGAACGCAAAACAAAGGCCACGACTGAGAAAAATCTCAAAATCGAAATAGATGGTACTGAAATGAATAAAACCGAGCAAAACTTATGTGCCAAAACAAGCAAGCAGTTAAGAGAATGAAATGCTATTGGTACCAAATTAAAAGGGAAGCCTATATCCAACAGTAGATGGTGGCAGGCTGTTAAAGAAGAAGACTAATTAATATTAGGAATACTATTTACAAAACTCGACATTTAAAATGATTTCCTCTTTCGTGCCAAGGTCAAAGTTGGAACCTTTTGCAAGAAGTGACTTTTCCGTTTCAGAAAGATAGGCCATGACACATTTATCACAGTGTTACTTGAGAAGAGGGCATTGGTTTTACTAGTGTTGATAGTGATTTTGAGTTGAAGATAAATGAAAATTTTCAGCTTTGTCACGACAAGATGGGAGCCATATTTTAATATAGAGACCGAAAAGTCTTATTGATTTGTCTCATCTCGCTACGGGTATGATGAATTCTTCCTCGAAGTAAAGCAAAGCTACATTTACAAAGAATTTTATAAACGGCGTAACAAAGAAAGCAGTCTGCAGAGAAATCTTAACAATCTCTAAGCAGGTATAGAATAAAATGCGGGCCAGTTTTAGTCAAGCTCTGAAGACGCGAACAGGGGGAATCAAGAAGTTTTGTAAATAGCGTTAAAGTGGCCTGTGGAAGTTTCTTTGAATAGCTTATATTTTCGAAATTGATTTACTAAAGTTTAAAGGTTTACTCGACGTATAATACGAAGTAGAAGTAAAGTAGGAAATAGATGTTATCAGTTCTTTTTCCTTCATTGTTTCTCGGTCAACACGATCTTTTTGGTTACGAAAAAAAGAGACAAAACTTCAAACGCCCGCTTCTACAATGAAAACGCGTATAATACGACCTAAAATATAGTGCATGCGGGGTATTTTCGAATAAGTAGAAGCGTTTATTTTAGCATCAGGTGATACGTACCTTTCTTAAGAGTTTAATGTAAATTGCAAAATGTTCGTATATATTACCGAGACATTTGACTGTGATCGTTCCAATAACTACGTATTGGAATGGTTAGTTAGTAAGGGTCTGCTTGGCATGGTGTTCTATAAGGTTTTGGTTAGTATTGAACTGAGGTGGCTTTTACTTCATAAAAATCAAGATAAATAAGAACTAAAAGTTCTGATTTTCACGAAATTATATATTTTTACATGACAATTGTTCCGACAACACGGTGTTGTCAATTGCCACGTAAAAACATAATTTCTTGAAAATCTGAACTTCTAGTCCTTATTTATTTTAATAAACAGTAGGCAAAATTAATCACGGGGTCGGTGGTAAAAGTACTATATTTCTGGTCGAAGTATACCTCCTACTAACCGGAATTCGTTTTACCTAGCCGAATACAATTTTAGAACCGCGCGAACCGTATTAAAAATTTACAAAAGGCGCATAAACAATTACGTCGGAAACACTTCCCGTGGAAAGAAAACACGCTTTTGGCCTTTACGAATTTAGTTTTAATTAATTCCGCCAGGGGGCGACGTTTCGCTCGACGCGGAATTAACAAGAACGAGATTTCTCTTTTTGCGTGGAAAATGCAATTTTTAATTTCCTCCGGATGGCGCTTTCTTTAATCGTCAAATCCAAAGTTTGCTCCGCCGTTTACCTTCGCGTGTGACGATAGAGACCCCATCGTTTTCGTTTTGCAGAATTGAAGTCCATGTCGCCGACGTTTTCGGAGGATTCGGGAAAACCGCCCAGCCAGGAGACGAGACAGTGCAGGCTGACCACCGTAGTCCAGTTGCGGAAAAGGTCTGGCGAATCGCTGGGGCTGGTGCTGACTCCAGGTAAGTGAAGAGTTGTACGAGGAAATGATACCATAAGCTGCGATAGACTTAGAGGCTGCTACTGCTCACAAATCTGTAGTTGGAAGACGCAGTGACGTGCCATTTTTTCTATCAAAATATTCAGTTTAAGCCCTCTACGGACGCCACCGGTAAAAATAGAAATAAAGGTTTTGTGTTAAATACCGCCTCTCAATTATCAAAAGATGTTCACCAAATTTGATAAAAATATAAAAGTTATAAAAGAAAATATGCATTTTTCGACCTATGTTTATATGAAAAATTAAAATCTCTCGTTGTTATGTTGTTACAAGTGCAGTACAATGGAGACGTTTTAAAGGGAAAGGGAGCAACAAAAGCAACTTTGCTACTTAAAAATGAGAGGCGAGAGGTAAAAAGAGTCAATTGCGAAAATTGAAGCCGTATATACTATATATTGATTTTACGTTGAATTAAAAAAAAAGTCGGCACAACGGAACACCCTGTATACATGAAAATACTGTCAATAAAATGTATAATTAGGGTCGAACACTTTTCGTATTTATTTTTTTTTTGCTCAGCGTCCTACTTACCGGGATGAGCTTTAGGGGCATCTTAAATGCACCACAATTGAGACGTTTTAAAGGGAAACAGAGCCCGACGTCTTTGATAATCTCGACTGATCGTGGAAATTCCTTTGTGCGAAATCCGACTCCGATTTCAGCAGATGGCGGCGGAGCTTACGGTGAATCACCGGATGCGTCCGTAAAGCCGGAGAGCTTCGCCGTATTTTTTCCAACTTATTATTAGAAGACCGTTTTCGAGGTCGTCGCTTTCCGTTACCTGTCTAGTTGCGACACACGTCGACGGTATCCGAATATTTCTGATCTCGAACGGCGAAGTTTTAGGGTGAACGGGAAGAAACGGCAATTACACGTGTCAGCAAACACTTAATTAGGACTAACAAAAAATTAACTTAAGTATATTTATTTACTTAAATTATTAATTTATACGGTTGTTACGGTTGTATTTCAAATTGTATCAGTTTTAAAAATTTCCTGTATGTTTATTTTTCATTCCTACGAAATAAATTACGAATATTTATTTCGTTTAAAACATTGGAATAGTACTACTCGGTTATCCATAGTTAACGATCTTATTATTATTAAATTGAAATTCTCACAACAACATTAATTAAGGTTTTATTGTCATTTTTCGGTATATATAGTAGCAGGTAGTTTGTTATTGTAGTTGTCGGAACAATTGTCATGAATTTCGTGAAAATCTGAACTTTAAGTTCTCATTTATGGTGTTAAATAGATTTTGCTCAAGTAAAAGCCACCTCAGTTCAATTTTTGAACTTTAAAACATTCGAGACAACCTCTCGACCAACTAAAATCCCCCGACTAATTCTTCTGCTTCCGATTTCAGAACTGGACCACTTGCTTTCTTGCCCTTTTCGCGATTGCTTCAAATTGTAGATATCGTTTATTTGCCAGTTTCTTTTGTCTAGCAATTTCGGCCTTACCGATGCCACTCTCAATACTTCTGATAGTCTCTCTCTCTTTTCTTTTACGGTTAAAGACTTGCGCCGATCCGCCATTTTAACCATAACCTCAAAAGCGCACCTTTCGCTTTACTTTGTAACCAGAGCAATAGTGAAAATATTGTACTTCATAACCATAGTAGAAGTTATATATGGTACGTAATATCCGATGAAAAATCAAGAGTATTTTGGCCGGACCAGTACGTTATATCCCATGTACGTTATAAACGAAGTTTACTATATTCAAAAATTTTGAAAAAAATCTTGAAATGGAAGCCGGTATTTAATCGGTTTGACACTTTGTGAGTCGCTGCGCATCGCTTAGTACAGAAAAGAAAAAAAAATGAATTTTAGTAGCTGTAGCTGCCTAGCAGCTTCTTTGGTTCGGTCGGTGGATTATATCGTAACATTCCTTTCTCTCTCGAATTTGTTCCGGTTAGGGGCACGTGTGAAGTTCCGAACTAACTCGCGTAGGGTAAGCGGGATCTCATGGAGACCACTCTTACAACTTACTGAATTTTAATGGACCCCCTCGGTCGGTGCGATTAATATCCGCCATGAAAACTTGGTAATTTGGATCCAAAGTTAGTCCGCCGCCGGTTCCTTGCGTTTAATTTTCAACAAAACTTCGACTGCGGATAACAGCGGCCGATACAAACACAAGTGATGATGGCAGAATACGACGATTTTAGACGAATTGTAGCTCAGCACAGTTGTTCTATTTCTAGATTTTTCGCTAGGGAAGAGCAGCCGGAAATAGTGGTTTCGTAGCAAAGTTAATAGTGCCACGAAGATTGCGTAGCCAAAATAAACAGTCCAATTCTGATGAAGATTTAGCCCGGAGTATCCAAATCTAAATAAAATGTATTTTATATCCTGTGTGGGGTATTTTTCTCTGATCGTCTATCATAAAGTCGTATTAAAAAAGGCTACGGAAGTCCATACAATTTGATGAAAATGAGATACATTCGATTCAGATCAGAAAAAAAAAAATAATAATAATAATATTGTTATTTTTTATTACATGCAAATAAACAGTAGGAGAGTAATATAGGTCCAAGGACCGAACCTTGCGGTACACCTGACGAAACGGAGAGATTCGGAACTTACATTGTCAAGAGTAACTCTGTCGAGTCGAAACATCATCGAGGCTTTCGCTCTGTTTGGATCCTGGTTGAGTCTAACCCAAGGCCCAATGCAGAAGTTCTTTTAATTGCGAGGCGGTTATCAATGATGACTGATATAGTCCACACAAAACGTAGTCGGGTCAGTGTTGGGTTTTTTTTTTTTTTCGTATACGCTAATATCGTACGTTTATCTTTGTCTCTTCTTTGTTGCTTATTGCGCATGGTTCGCATCTAAACAAATATCCCTCTATTCGTTTATCCGAGGCAAGATTTAGCGCGGGGCGGCTTATTAAGTAAGCGATTCATCGCCGAAAAGTCTGCGCAGCTGCCTTTAAAACCGCGCCTCTTTTCGCCATCAATTTCGACTTTAAACTCGCTCGCCTTGAAATCCCGCGACTCGGACGACTCGAGAGTGGCAATTTATCATCGGGGAGGCTAGAATTACAAACCTGACCCCGGTCATTACGACCCGAAAGCAGTTTCCTCCGTGTAAACAACCGCGATAAACAGCCGGGGCGGATATTTTACAGCCAAGCTTTATAGTTCGGGTGAGAGGGGGGGCTTTAATTCCACTCCCCGTGAGCCTGTGGAAGTTTCTCTGGAAAAAAAAGAATTATATCCTCAGGCGGCATTAACTGGCATTGCCCAGTCGAGAGTAATTTGATTGAATCGTTTGAATCAACGCAGCAGAAATTAAACGAAAACGGGACAACCATTGGTGGGATATTTCACTCAAAACTCAAAATTTTGGGTACAAAAACGAAATGTATATGATCACGTGGATCAACATAAAATTTCACTTTTCGATTTTGAACTACAAAATTTCCATATTTTATTTTTTCTTCTATATTCACTACTACTTTCTGGCACCATCAGGTTTTCATTGTATTGGCCTTGATAGCGTCGTTTGAAGCTCATGATGTCCTGCTGAAAACGTTCTGCTTGTCCCTTTGAATACGCTCCCGTGTTGTTTTTAAATTCGTCTTACAACTATCAAAAAATCATCAGTATATATTAAAAAAAAAAGGTTTTTTATCTTCTTTTTTGTGCGTAATTAACCGGAAAATCCTAAAATATTCTTTAGGACAAAGAACGAATTCTTTTTCTACTCCCGTCTGTAAAATACCTAATTACCGATATAGCGTGCGGGAAGCGTCGCTTTGCCACGTCAATTTCGTTTCCCACGAATCCGAGCCACTTCGGACATTTCCGGGATTTTACCGCACGGGTTTGGGAGCAATCGAATGTTTTAGGAGATATTTCCGACGCCTTTAATTTTGACGTTTGTCAATTCTGACAGTCATGTCAGTGAATGTATTCGTATTTTCCGAAAATGTACCCAAAAATTAAGGGTAACGGAAAAAGTATAGTATGTAACTTTTTAACTCACTCGTTTATTAAACACTCGCTCCGTTCGTGCCAAATAAACATGAGAGTCAAATGCCGTTTACCGCACTTGTTGCATAATATACTATTATCGAACTGCATTTTGCATGCACCTGCATCTAGAGGAAAAGAGCAATATCAATTTTACTACATTGTGGCTTGAAAGAATGAACATTGAACGCCAAATAACATTAAAGACTGCTCTCATTGCACCGTCATCAGTGGGTATAAGAATCACTAAAGCTAAAAATGAGTTCCGCAGTCAACGTCATCTTTATTCCGAAGACACTTGTACAAAAAAAAAACAGTTACAGTGTTATGAATCACATCGAATGATAACAATTACTTCTCGGACGACGCACGCCAGTGGATGACGGCACGTTAACGGGCCACGATTATGAACGAAGGAGCGAGTGAATCGCAGGCTAGGAATTGAATTATTTCTGGTTAATGCCGCGAAAGAGCTACGACAATTCGAAATTCATTTGGTGCCCGGGCGGACCAGATGTCGTTTACGTGACAAAACTAAATTCTCCGGCGTACGTCCGTTTTAAAATTCCGTCTTGGGTGTTCATGTGACGCCCCCGACACGTACCGCTCGGTTTATTCAACATCATAAAGCGATTTGTAAACGAACTTTGCTTCGCACGACATTCGGCTCAAGATGGCGTCGATATTTTTCAGTTTTTACCTCAGAGGCAAAGGGCGCCAGTGTCTCGTGTATTCCGAATACATTTTCCTGTATAATTACAATTTTATAATTACATGTTATAATTACAAATTCCTGTATATTAATTGAGGTTATGTCTGATTTTGTGTTCTCTAACCGGCCTTGCATCGCTACTGACGTACAGCTTTGCGGGTACAATATTTTTACATTAAGTGCAAGCACAATTGAAAATCAGGAACTTCTTTGCCGATAGAGCTTGTATATTAACTTTTAAGGTGCAATATTTTTGTTGTTT